GTTTTTAATCATACAAGATGATTATCTACATCATTTTAAAGATTTTAAATAAATAATCTATATATATATATATAAATATATATATAAAGTTTGATTATTTTTTAAATAGTAACTATTTCCCACAAAAAAATATTTTTTACTAAGTATGGAAACTATTTAAGCATTTTATGGTATTTTTTAAAGATACAATTTAGGTAATTACGGCTGATTTATTAAGGTAATAAATCACATAAAAATTTCTTTTGTATCTTAAGATATTCATATCATATATTTGTACCTAAAATTTTGAGATCTATCACATTCCTAACAAACATTAGATTTACTTATATATTTTTAAATTAATCACATCAATAAATAATATTAATATACATTAAATATTTCTCATTATATAAAAAAAGAATATTACTTCTATGAATGTTATAAATAATATTGACATTATACGACAATAAATTTTTGAATAAAAGTGTATTTGAATATTACGATGAACCAAAATATGTAAAATTATTAATTTTTATTAAAAAATAAATATATATGTTAAAATATTATTTATATTAATATAAGCGGATCAACAGACTAATATATTGTTAAAATAAAGTTTTGTAAAAATAATTTTTTGTACGTGCATCGCACGGGATTCTCACTAGTTTATTATACATGGGATGTGAGATTTCAAGTTGGTTATTTTTTAAGGCAGTTTTTAAATGTAAGAGAAAATAATATTTTATTTTATTTTAAATAAAATATTTTTTATTTGATCAAAAGAACAAAATATATAATGCACCAATGAATGTATCATAACTAATCTCCAAATATCATATTGTTTATTATAGTTATTTTATGTTATAGTATTAAAAAATTAAAGAGAAACAATTTAATGAACATGCATATGTATCTAGGAATGATTGAATCAAAATTAATTATTCAATTCTACTTATCATAGAGTTCAATTAATAGTATTACATATTATATTTCATTATTCACTGCATTTATTATTGTTTATCAATAAAATATACATTTTGTTTGTTAAACTATTAAAAGATAATAATATTATACTATTGAATATAAATTTAATAATAACAATAACTTATTTATATAAAAAAAAATAGCAATATCACGCGCGTCGTGCATCTTTCTTACTAATATAAGAATGAACATACAAAAATATTAAGGAAATTCAACAATTATTTATGCTAACTAATCTAGTTATTTATACCTTTTCTAATTGAACTAGTTAATCTGATATTGACATTTTTCACATCAACTTTTAAAAGTTGTACACTATCATCTATATTTATATAAAAAAACATTTTGTTTACTAGAATTAGCAGTAAGAAAAGTCAAAGTTAATTAATGCATTCTATCTTCATCAAGTATTTTATTTAATTATTTTAGTTAATTGTTTTATCTCATAACACTTTTTTAATACAACTTACAATGATTTTTCTATTGTGATTAAAAACGAAATTTTACATTTAAAATCTTGTGAAATTATTATTATTATTTTTATAAAGCACATATTATTTGTTAAAAAAATGATATATACATATAATACACATCACAGTACCATAGTAGATGATTTAAATTTCAACCGACCAAAATGCCAATAATTTAAATTTGAACACACCTATGTGTTTGACCAAATGTCTGGATGATTTAAAATTGAGCCCATAAAAAATTATTTAAATTTGAACACACCAGAAATTTTATGTACTTTTTATTTATAAATATATTGAAATTGTATTTAATTGCTGTTATATAAACTATTTTAATATATTTGCAATGAATAAAAGTTTGAATGAATAATTTGTAATGTTATTCATAATGTTTGTGACTTATGAAACACGAACACATAACTCCATACATATTTGCCAGATGGCGGCTTAATAATTTTTTAGACTTAACGTTGATTAAAAGAGGTAGATAATAGATAATAACATTATTACTTTTTAGACTTAAACGGACAAAGTTGTGAAAATAACTCATTTAATATCTTTGTCTCGTGCATCGCACATGATACATACTAGTTATATAAAAAGAATAACATTTTTTACAAATTTAGAAACCTTTTCCAGCCATAATCACTACATATATCCTACATATAGCAATTGTAGGACAAATATAATTACTACTAGAAATCTATTATCTATCTTAAAAAGTTAATTTTCATCTGTATAATTACTAATATGTTTACCAATATTATAAGCTAACAATACATTGACAACGTAAAAAGTATAATAATAATAATAATTTTAAAATAGCGTGTAATCAAATTAAATCTACACGAGTTTAGCATAAATCTCCAAGAGTCCTTAGTTTAAGAAATCTCATCCTTTATCTATACAAATTTAAAATAATAAAATAAAATAAAAATCAATTTATAATTACTACTAAAATTCATTACCTACTTTAAAAATCTAATTTTCATCAGTCTAATTACTAATATTTTTCAAATATTATAAGCTAACAATACATCTCGATAACAACATAAAAAGTATAATAATAATTTTAAAATTGTGTGTAATCAATTTTTTTAGAGGGAACTAAGGTAACTTATAAAATCTCATAGCATAAATTTACACGAGTTTACCTCTTATCTGCTACAAAATCCTTAGTTTAAAAAAATCTCATCCCTTGTTTATACAGATTAAAAAAAAAAAAATTATAAATTACTAGAAATCCATTATCTACCTTAAAAAGCTAATTTTCATCGCTCTAATTACTAATATTTTTCAAATAACAATACATGCTCGATAACAATGTAAAAAATATAATAATAATTTTAAAATTGTGTGTAATCAATTTTTTCAGATGGAAATAACGCCATAAATTATGTATCATATGACATAATGTGTTTATTAAATTAGGCTTATAATATTTTAAATACTTGTAACAATTTTTTTAGACATTTGTTTTACCCATTCGTCCATATATATGCATATACACATACATAATTGATGTTAAATTTAAATATTTGTAGACTTGTTTTCTTTACAAAATAGTTTAGAAATATATTTATTACACAATGTTAAATTCAAATGATTTTAGATATGTTTTCCTTCTAAAATTGTTTAAAAAATTTGTAGGTGACTTCACATCTTTCAAAAGTAATATAGAAAAATTTGAATACTTTTACATATACTAATATAATATTTAGGTGTTATTAAACATACAAATTTTATATTCTCTTATACAAAATAATGTAAAATTTATATTCTCTTATACAAAATAATTTTACATTATTTGACCCCAAATCTTTAATTTATAATTATTAAGTATTGTTTAACCTCTTCTTTAATTTATAATTATTTTTTTCTTCCTATTTTTAAATATGATCAATAGTAATTTCTACTTCCGCCATTAAATATTTCAAACTCGAGGTCTATTTATAATTTTGTTATTTTAATATTGTTTCTGTCCATCGTACGAGGTACATACTAGTGAATTATCATGCGAGCAATGTAATGAAGAAAAATTAATCCCAAGATCTAAAGAACATAAGAGAAGAGTGAACATATGCACATCTTCGTTGATTCAACAAAAAAAAAAAAAAAAAA